GCTGAAAGATGATATTCCAAGACAGAGAAGGGCATATCAGCCATTGATTTAGGTCACAGAAGCAATTCACTACTGCATGAATAGCATTAGTCCAATGCTATATCCAAACACAGTAAAAACATTTAAAAATCTCCTGTGTGATAAAGGTTGGCATTAACAATACAGTTTTTACCAAAGTACTATACCAGCCCATTAATCTTAGCAGAAAAAATATTTTGCTTTTGTTACAATATAGTTGCTCGTACAAAGCAAAGTATAAAGTGGGTTTGGTGATTTTAGGTTTTTTTCATGTAATTTTTCTGGTGACACCATCATTGAAATAAATTATGTATTGATATGAATGTAAATATCTATTATTTTCACAACAATGGGGTTAAAACACATGTTTACACCTTCTATCCAGAGAGAGGATTATAAAAAAATAATTCCATGACTTCTTTTGTAGTGTTGCTGTCATAGTTTTCATTTGCAACCAAATAAAAATGATGTTACAGTCACGACTATTCCTCTTACTGCTAGGCTTGTTCACTTTCTTGCAGTCACAGTCACATATAAAGGTTTTAACAGAGAAAATGTTATCACTGTTTTACGAGCAATCACCTTATGCCCCAAGGTCCAGCAGCAGCTCTTACACCACATGTAGAAAAGCGTTGGCTTGGATCACTTCCTTTGCTCTGAATTCAGCCAGACCTTAGCTGTGCTGCAGAAATAACCACGTTATGAGTTTTGGTCCAAAGATAAAGAGGCACTCAAAGTCAGCAAGGCAGACATAAAAATGTCATAACAGATACTAAAGAAAATCTGTAGCCTTGGGAAAGCAATTCATGACAAATATGCTAAAGAAATAATCTAGTATTATTCTTCAGGAATTGACTTTATAAATTCCCCTCACAAATAGAAGTATGAGTAATATCTGCTCTGAGTAGGGGGAACTAGTCAGGGACAGGGTAGCTATGGGAACAGTAGAGAAACATGGACTCTTTTTGCTGCTACTTTAGTTGCAGCTGGATCCAGAAGCCAGTGAAAAGATCCAGTGGGGAAGGTCTGAACCCTGAGATGTTCTGTGTGAGTTTTATGGTGTACATATTTAACTGGCTTTCAGAAGCACCATGGAAACACCTGACTGTTATACTGTATTTTCAGACACACTGAGAAGTCTGTTGTTATTGTCATGGCAGCTGTTATATAGAACTGGTAAATTGTCAAACACATATTTTCGGAGTATAAGTCCCAAATATTTCGTATTTCTCCAGCTCCAGTATTGTATAAAGTTTTTTTATAAACAAAAAAACAAACAAACCCAAAATATTGAAACAACTTGGAGATTCACATGTTCTGCAATATATTTGTTGTTGTACTCTTGCACTAGTTACCAGCATTTCTTCTGAAGAATGTTGTCATATTTCAGCGACCTCCTGTATGTTTTATAGCTTATTGTTTCACTGTCTGTCTCTTTTTTTGGTCATATTTTTCATGTCTTTATTTCTACATTTAGTTTGTCTCTTCCTTTGTCAGTATCCTGAGTTTTTGGGTTTTGGTTTATTATCTATTTTTGGTTATTTTGGTCTTTACAGCCTTTTTTCAGTCCTCTGCATCCCTCCATTTTACTGCTCATCTGCTTGCTCTATCAAGCCACCTCTTTTTCATCAGCAACTTCGTCCTCTGTTCTGTGGTCTTTCTTGATGCTAAGCTCATGTCTTTTGCCTCATGGGACAACGTTCCTCATGCTGTTTGCAGAAGACTTGTTCAGATAATGACTGTATGTAATTGTGGCCATGTCAGGTGGAAGTCAGTGGGTTGGAAGAGGATTAGGTTTCCTCCAGTTGTACACCAAAGTGTAACTAACTCCTCATTTGCAAAAGCCCTGATCTACCTGGTAGAGAAGTCTGAGAAAAGATGGAGTCAGGTGCAAAATAAGAAAGATCTTTTGGTTTTCTCATGCTCAGCCACGAATAAGATTGAACGGGTGCAACAATTACTTTTTATGTCTAGACTAAGAAACAAATGGTAGCTGCTCCTGAGTCACTGGGAGGGGTGTCTGTGCCATGAAGGGATGCAGGTCATCTTTTGCTGCCTACTTGATGCTCCCAAGCAAAATGTAAGCTCTTAAGGTTGATGCAATAAAACCAATACTGCCTTTGGTACCTTTGGGAGATGGTAGCACTGTGCTGTTAAAGTAAGAGCTGTAAATGATGTACAGGATGGTTAGTAAAGCAACTTGATTTTCCTCTGAAACATTAAGTCCCTTCCCTGGCCGTCTTTCTGCGTGGATGCTTTCTCTGAAGGACACTCTTGGCCCATGTGCATGGGTTTTCTGATTTTGACATGAAAGTTGCCACCTCAGGCCAAATGATTTCCATAAGCTTCACATCTGAATGAGAATACCACTTTACAGGAAGTTCAAGAAGGTGGTCAATGTAAGAAGCTCCAAATCTTTTGGTTTTTTTTCATCTGTCCAACTTCCACAGCCTGAATAAAGTTTTGTCATGCCCATTAACCAGAGAATTACTTTTATGTTTAACTTCAGCTAAAATTTTATGAGCATTTGGGAGTTACATAAGATGATTCTAATATATTGTTTGTTATGCAAAGTTGTAAAAGTTCATTTCCTAAAATGTCTTTCTATTAATTTGTTTAGAATGCTTGTAATTTTTAATAGTTTTTTTTGCCACTGTTCCAACACAGGAAAGAAAAGCACAGTGTTCAAACATTATTCTGCTGATTTACTTCAAAAGCCTATTCTAGTCACTAAATATTACCGGCTGTAGCTCCTGAATTGGGTAGCATAGATTCTCATTAAGAAAAACCCTGCGAATCTCTCTGTCTTGACTCCTGTTTTTAATTACCAATGTGGTTCCAGGCAGGTGACAGGAAAGATTTTCCTAGTATGATAAAGTCCTGCCAAGGACAAGTTCTGTGCATTTGTAGCACAGAAAATAAGGTGTTTACTATAATTTCCCTAAAGAATTATTTAGTCAATGTCCTTGATACTTCTTTGCAGGGCAAACAAGGCTATTTCTTCACTATCACATTAGGAAAAAATAAAGGAATAAACATAAAAGTGACTTTGCATACACACCTTCCACTTGATATCCTTCCAGATCACTTTACAACTTTCCATTTTTCCGTCTCTTCAGCTGCTGATCTGTATGCTGTGGGGACACCACAGTTCTGATGCTTCACTAGATAATGACTGTCTGTACCTACGCTGCCAGCCTCTGGTGTCTGGGAACAAACAGCATTAGAGATAAGAGCTATGAAGGAGCAAGAATTTCCATCCTATTGAATAGTTCCGCCAAATGTATCTTTAGTCCACAGAAGAGGAAACAATGAGCATGTGAAATTATCTTTTTAAGGAATATTTTAAAAACCACTTTTGGTTACTTCTGAAATGGATGAACTCCTCTTGCTTCAAGGAACCCATGTTGTGGTTATTAAAATATTTGGCAGTGTTTATGTAGGTACTTGTCTTTTAAGTAGAGGATGAGCTAATCCTCCCACTTGGAATGTGTGAACAATATGCTGGAGAAGAGTCAATGCTGCAGTAGCAGTATAACAGATTTTCAACCTAGAAAACAGGTTGGAGAGAAGTAGCCTGCTTTTTATAACATTTCTTCCTAAAATTGAATTTCTGACATCCATTCAAAGAGAAATAAATATTAACCTATCACAGCATGCTTCCTTCCCAGAATGGGAGATAGGAAACTGTTACATTATATACGCTTACAATTATACTTCCAGTTGTCTATAAGAGAAATGCAAGTGTTTTTCCGGAGAACTCTTAGTTGTATGTTGAACCTTGTAAATACCTTTCTAAGCAGAATATGCTTTTTGCAATGACTTTTTTTTTCATTTACATAGTAAGATAAATCACGACTTCATTTTACTTCATCACTGCCCAATTTTACAACTGTGTCTTTACAGTTACTGCATGACACTGTTCAAAATTTATCTATTCACTCATTGAGGTTCATTTTCCACAGATTGCTACAGTACATTACAGGTATCCTTGCTTTTTATTTTCTAACTGGTGTTTTTACTCCTGGAATACTGCTGAAATAATTAAATATAATTTGCTGAATATAATGGATAATTCAAAAAGCTTGGAAATGCCTTAATAAATTTTGAAAATTTTAGCTATTTGTCTGAACATAATATCTTTGTTTAGAGTAATGATTCTCAGGCTTTTTGAAAATGTACCACTTCCTCTTGGGCAGCTGATCCCTGTAGTATTTACAGTGCCTATTTTTTTTCATCCCAAAAAGGAAATAAGCAACATAAACATTTACATTTGAAGAAGTGAAGTAAAAAGTAAAATCTAAATTGTACAGCAAGGGAACTGCCTCCTCTAGCTGCAGTTGTCTTTGATTCACACACTGAATACATATGAAATGTACTTTTTTCTTGTTGGTTGGATGCTAGAGTAATTTGATGTGGATCTACACTATAAATTAGGGATATGTCTTGTCCCCTCTGCAGTCATAATCTAGTTCACTGTGGAGAGATGTAAAGTATTCTAAGTTAGTGTTGACTCATGGATGTGAGGAAGCTTATCTTAGGCTTCCGTCCTTGCTTAAAGGAGGCTGTCAGCAACACCTGAGTTAGCAAGTTTAGACTTGGTCTGGATACTACCAGTCTGTGTTTGTGCAAACATGAGTCACTGTTATAACATAATCAGATGTCAACAAAGCAGCAATGATTTATTCACGTTTGGAAGTTCACCAGGATCTAAAATATATCTGTTTCTCAAAAATGTTTAACTTGATTCACCATCTATAAAACTTTCAAAAAAATATATGTTGCACCTTAATTGCCTTAAGGTCATGGTTGCAAGAACTTAATTCCTCCTCTTTCATCTTTACATTTCAAAAAAAGTCGAATGTTGGATTGTGTTTTCAAGATGCAAATTTTTTTTGCTTAAATATTTTAAATGAAATTACTCAATACTTGGAAGCTACTAACACCTTACTTAATGTAGTGGGAACTATTTTTTTTTCCAGGTATCAACAGTGCCAGAGTTTGGCCGCATAATAATTTATACTACCAGTCTTCGTGTGGTAAGAACCACTTTTGAAAGATGCGAACTGGTTAGAAAGATTTTTCAAAATCACAGAGTTAAATTTGAAGAAAAAAACATTGCTCTGAACAGCGATTATGGAAAAGAACTAGACGAAAGATGCAGGAGGGTCTGTGAAGTTCCCTCACTCCCTGTTGTGTTTATTGATGGCCATTATCTTGGGGTAAGTAAAGCACAAGCCTATGTTTTATTCTGCAGTCTCGAGGAACAGATGAAAATAAGGAGTTTCTAGAAAATTGTTTGCAGTGCTAATATGATGGAAACAAAGACAAATATCCCTTTGTGGTGTGTAGTGTACAGATCCACACTGATAGGTTTGATCTGAAGATGTAAGAGATAACCAGGGAGAGGCTACCATGAGGGGAATAAGAGGCGGTAATACAATCTAAGATATCTATCCCATGTTTCACGAAAAATAGCTTATCTTTGCAGCTGAAATCATGAAAATCTAGAGAAATTGATTTTTTTTCCTCTTGGGAAGCTCTATGTAGGATTGACCCAGAAAGATGAAGACTCATAGCAAAAACATGTAATTTAGTAGTATCTATGTTGAATATGAAACTAACAGCTTGGGGTGTCAGATCTTAAACTTGCATTAAATTTTATATGATGTAGTCTGTATTGGGATATGTAATCAACAGATCCTTTTGGTTTAGGTACAGAATTGGTTAATACCTAGTTTTAGAGAATTCTAGCAGTAAAAGAGAGAGAAAAACAGATGTGAATAAATCACGTTATGCCTGTTGCAAGGCATAAACTCCAAATGGAAAACTGTAATCCAAATTGTTGCTCTGATACTCTGGATCTAAAAGCCTGGTGGTATTTGAAATCTTCCTTTCATTAAGGGCAGCCTGTAGTTTTGAGGTGTATTTCTCAGAAACCGAAAAAACAGAGAGTTTAAAGGAAAAACATTCTGGAAAGTGGCACAAAGGAAACAGCCTGAGAACTCAGAGAAGGTACTTGTCTTGAGCTGTAAAGAACTAGCAATTAGCACCAACAGTGAGACTGTGATTTGTGAAGGCAAACTATAGTTAAACACAGTGGGGTTATTGTGTTTGTATTTTCATTTTCACAGAAGATTTAAGTAACAAAACGAAATGTAATCAGCAATCAGGCATAATACTGGGCCTGTGTAAACACTGGAATCCCCTTTCTCCCCATCCCTTTCCTAGCTCTCCGTGTGCTCTGTGTGATGCTGGCTTCTCCAAGTACTGTAACAAATGCATTTGCTGGCACAGGGCTACCCAGACCACTGCAGCAACTGCAAAATCCCCATGTGTGCAGAATATGAGCAGATAGTGACTTTTACTTCAAAGTAGAGGATGCTTTTATCAAAAACCTGGAGAGTTCTCCAGTCAGGAGCAGAAGTGCTTTGTTCAAAAGCAGCTTAAAATTCAACAGGATTCAGAATAAGATTCACTCATGTAATTATCATGTTAAAAATAAAAGTAGTGAGTCCAGAAAATCTTAGTCCTTTTGTGATCAATTTATCAAAATAATTCTGTTAAAATACTGAAATGAATTGAATAAATTATTTGCCTAGCTGTAAGTGAAGCCTGGTCACAGTCCTTTTCGTATGATTGATGGCCCATTAATTCACCACTGCCTTTTTTTTTTCCCTTTTGGAAGATCGTGGGAAACTTGTCTTTTAACAGAGGACCAGCAGTGTAACAAGCAATACAATCTCATTAAAACTATGTAATTGTTGTATGAGATGCTTTGGAGAGGTATAGAGAGTAAAGGCAAGTGAAGTAGGAAGCTAGCTGTCTGAGGGAAAGACAAATTTAGCTGCCCAACTACCTGCTGAAAGGTAATCAGCAGGTTTAACCTCCTGTAGGTAAAAATAAAAAAGAAAAAAAATGGTGTTCTAGTCTATAGACATTTATTACAGCATGGCAACTGCATTCACACTGAAAACAAAGAAGTACTGATCTGCTAAAAAGAAAAAAATCAGGCTTGTGGAGTGTTTTCTTTCTTCTTTTCTTTTCTTTTCTTTTTATTAAATTGATGAGGCACACTGTGGTTAAACGGAACAGACTTTAGCTCCAGGAGAGGATTAAAGTTATTCCACGAAAAGCAATATTATTTGTGGAGAATATGCTTTGTGGGCAGGGAGTGGTCCAGGAGATGCCTGCACTGCTCTCGGGGAGCATCACAGCTGCCGAGGGGGACATGGTGGCTGGCAGGGTGATGGGAGAGACAGCCCAAAGATGAACCTGTCACTCACATTGGTGAGGGACCTGTGTCCACACACTCTGATAACTGTGGCAAACACCATTATATTATGGCAGTTATTATTTCTCTGGCTTAATATGGCTTCAGAAGAGAGGTTGGCATTCACTCATTTAGGAAGAGAAATATGGAGAGAGGGGCACTTTACATACTGAGAAGGTCTGGCAGCGAAGGATTCACCCCCCCAAGCTAATTCAGTGCCTGATGGCTGTGGCACCTTAAGAGGACAATGCATCAGCGACCTCAAAGGCAGTAAGCTGGCTCAACCTGTGCCAGGTTTGTGTTTCAATAAAATACGACTGAGAACTAATTACAGGATTTGGTCTCGTTGGTAACAGTGGACATTTCTAGAATGCCTTTTATGATAATTACCTTCTGATATGGAAATGCAACACAGAAATACAGAAGCCTGGTGTGTCAGTAAATTAATCATGCAATATCTTCTTTCTCTTTTTTTTTAATTTTGAGTATTTATTTCCTGGTAAATCTCTCCCTGAAGGAGATTGCATGTAGCAATACAAAGGAAAATCTATATTGAGCCATGCACCTTTCAATGAGTCATAAAGAGAAAAAAAGGAAAACCAACCTTAATTAAAATATGAACAGTTTTGAAAGGGGACAAGATTATTTTTAATGAGATAAATGTAACAAAAGCAGCAGAACATGGCATACGTGCATCAAGCATACAGTGCTAGAGCTGTTTAGAAGCATGGACAAGGTTTTTACAGCACTTCGGGCTGCGTGGATAAATTTTCACAGCGCAGTGGAATTTATCATTGCCTGAACAGGGGGAAACAAACCTATGGCTTGGGGAGAAGCAATAGAAAAATCATATTTAGCCCCTGTCAAGCAGAGTCCTGTGTGCTGCAGTACAGCAGTTTAGGGTTTTTTTCCCTCATTTTTTCAGGATTGAATCATTGTATTTCTTGACACACACTGTCTAAGTATAAGTCTGCCAGGAAATTGCAGGTTCTTTCTGCAGCACGCTCTTTACCAGCTGATCTAATCCCTCCTTTTCACCTGAGAGTCTCTCCATCTGAAATGGAATTATGCCATCTGCTGGGACACAAAAACAAAATAAAAAATTACTTCTAAAAACCAGAAAGGCACACAGAAAAAAAAATAGAGCTTTAATTTACTCTTTTACAAAGGTACTCAGGATTGTTAGAGGTTTATGCTGTGCAGGAAAAGGGATGCACATAAAAGGCAACTAGAATAATCATGTAAACATGTTAGCCCACTGCATGATAGTTTTAAAAAAAACCTTTATTTTTCACTTTAAATATGTAATTGTATTCCAGTACTCATTTGCCATACAAACCTACTTGAATATTTTTCAAATATGTGAATTTAATATTTTTTCCTGAATAAACTGCTTCCTATTTACATTTTCCAGCTGTAATGAATCAACAACATGAGATTTACAGTAAAATTATTTTATTTGACTAATTACTTACGATTATTTACCAAGAATTATAAGGCTATTTTTGTAACTGACTTTTAGAAAATCTCTGTATAATATATTTTGTAACACAAGAATTAAGTTTCCTTTTTGGTACTTTCTGGTGGCCATATATGAGTAGTAGCTCTCAATTGCCTCCATGTTTTGTTAGACTAAACACATTCTCCTGGTGATCCCTTAATGGGGTGGATAGGAATGGCTCTGGGACAATAAAACTGTGATGCAACTATTGCATTGAGCCATCTAGCATATTCCCACTTGTTTCCTCCATTTTGCAGTTTAACATTTCAGGAGTGGCAGGGTTCAATTAACCTGATATCACTTTGCACATCAATCTTTCAGTTCTTTGCATACCAAATACAACATTTCAGGTGAGGGTACTATACTGCAGTGTCAATTTTCTCAGTTTACAGGCAGATTTCCAGGCATTTAATCACACCCCATGCGTGCCTGCTGCCAAGGGGCACCTCATTGTGAGAGGTGTAGAGTTGTAGGCTGAAGAGTGTGTGAGCTCTAGGCAAAACCAGGGGTGTGTAGAACATGTCTCCTTGCTAAGCCAGAGTAAAAAAACATGGCAGGTCTGGAAAGGCTAGGGCATGTGATTGCACGATGCTGCATTAGCAAGAGGCCTCACCCATAAACATAGCAAAAAGTTTTTTTAAGGAGATAAGGGAAGCAACTTTTCTGTACAGCAAATGCATCCACAAGAGAGATGTTGCACTGCTGTGCTAATTTTTCTCTGTATAAGTGTCCTGCTTGCAAAATCAGTGGGTATTTTAGTGCATTCAAATTCAGAGAAATGTGTATTCCCTGCTGAAGAATTACATCACGAAAATGGTAATGGGTTACATCCAAGACAGGTGAGCAAGAGACTGGTTTAGTGACAGGCCAGAGGTGGGGCAGTAGGAAACTTAGCGGACCTTGCATTTGTACTAGTTCTGCAATTAATGGGACCATACTTGAAATACGATGCTAATTTCTGGACGTTCTCAAGTGAAAACTTGGAAAACATTTTGAAGAATGACAAACAGTCTAGAAAACTTGTTGAGTGATCTAGCCAAGCCTGTGGCATTTCCTTGCCTAAAGAAGGGCAAAGATCTGAACACAGCCCCTGGACTGCTCCATCATGGTAGAGAGCTGTTGAAGTTAGTAGCTAAGGGATTCACAGGCTGGTGCTTTGAAACTTCAGCTGACTAACAAAACTGAAAATGGGCATCTCCCTGCTGCTTCTCTAAACGTTATAGCCACTGTCCCATGTACTCCTCACGTGAGTCTTAGGAGAGGCAGACTCTTTAATGTTTCACATCCCTCTGTGAGTAATTGTGGACTGAGCACAATCTAGGAAGAAAAAGAAAGGCATCACCTTCTGGTCAGAAAGCAGCTATTGGACTTATTTAACAGCTGCTTTAATTACTCTATTAATTGCAGGCACTGTGTGTTCAGATTCACAGATCCAAATGGACGGTTAACCTCTGCAAAGTGTCTTCTATTCAAATTTCACTTGAGGCAGTCATTAATCAGAAAAGGCACTGAAACACTTGAGAACATTGATAGTCATTCAGATATTTTGATTTTAATTTTAAAACCATAGTAATGAGACTTTCCACTTTGAAAGTAACACAGCTTGTCAACTGAATGTCATCTGAAATATAAATCCTTTAAAATATTAATCTGTATTGGGAAACCTGTCAGACTTTTAATTCCACTGCTGCAAAAGCCAGTCAGCATTATCACACAGCATCGCTGTAGCACAAAGCAGAAGTCACAGGAATGATCTGCCAGCTGTTGCCACAGAGAAGAGATCCTTCTCTAAATGAGGGCAAATTGAGGTTTGTCCAGATTAGAGAATTTGTCAAGCTGCAATTACATCAATAAAGCTGCAAATCCTTAATGTCTCTGCATTGGATGGGCAGCAAAAGCCTTGTTTTAAGCTGCTGCAGTGTATGCAGGCCCTGAGCTAATGCTCCATGGACAGCCTTGGCAAACCCTTGCTTTGCTGTGCCAATCATTCCCACTGTCCGTCTCGTGTGAAGGCAGGGGAAAGATTGGAGGGTAAGCATGAAAAAGGCTGACAGGCTGCTCAAATCTGCTCTGCTGGGGACTCAGAGAGCCCTAATGCATATGTGGAAGCTGGCACACTCTGTGTCCGGGATCTGTAACAGATTTCAGTGGAAGAGTCAGCATGAGTAAGGCGAGCTGATGTGAGTCTCCTGTCATCTGCTGCAACTAATTAACTACTTCAATTATCTTGAAGACACTTCTTTAGTAAAAGAATCTCCTTGAAAGTGTAGTGCTGAAGGACTAGTGTTCACTGCAAAATTGGCCCTCTTATCCACTAAAATATTAATATTTTGCTTTTTAACTGAAATGAAAAGAATCAATCAGAGAGTCAAAAGTGCTTCTTTTTTTGTACAAAGCCAGAGCAAAGAGACTTTGCACAGGGAAACTAACCTTAATAAGGTGTCATGTAAAATCCTTTGCAACATTTCAGTGGCCCTTAATTGGCTTTTGGGCTACACACTTGTAGCCTTGGCAGTCCCCAGCAAGACACTATGGATGATTGGACACTAGCACATAAGTTACTGGCCTGTATGTGTTGCCTGTGCTTCTCGGTAACAGGGAGAGCAGCGCTGGTGGGGAGCTGGGGCTGGGGCTGAGAGCCCCTTCAGCTCACCATGAGCAGCTCAAAGTTAACAGCATGTCAGAGCCATGCACCAGCATCCCACTGCAACTCAGTGGTGTGCCATCAACACAGCCGTGTGCCAGCATCCCACCACACCTCCCAGCTCATGCCAGGAGGAAACCCAAAGATGAAATTAAAAAATCTAGGCATGCAGGAAATAGCAAATTGGGGTAGCACAATGGCATGAACTCACCACAGGGTCTAGATGTGGGCAATCACTCTTAGCAGCAAGTAAGGGCTGTGCCTCAGATTCCTCACATTTTGTTGCTTTCTTGCAATCCACTGATTAAAAGTGTCTATAAGTGATTGGTAATAGTATTCAGTGAATTTGGTTACATAAGTAAGCATTCAAATGTGGCCCTTTAATTAGAAGAATAGGCAAAAAAGTTTTACATCATTTTTGACACTCTCATTTTGTCTGCAGCAATCTCTTAGCATTTACTTTCAGAAGGAAAAAAGCCACTTCAGTACTGCCTCAGTTCAGATCATAGAACCCCTCAGAGGCCTAATGTACTCAGATTATATTATTATTCATTGTTGTATCTCACTTTAATGTTGTTACTGTATTTTCATTACCCTTTTTCTCCTTTTGTTATACATTAGGCATTTTATGTCTTTATTTAATGCTCAACTGCCAAAATATATGACATATAATTTCCTCCTCTCATTTTGCTGCATTCTCTGTTGTGTTGTATATAATTGTAATTTTTGACACGGTAATTAGACATGTTTTTTATTCTGTCAGGAAGCACACCCTGTAAAATAAAGTGAACACAATCAGAATTTCCAATCTGTGTCACCTGTTACAAAAAGGCATTGCAGTTATGACACCTGGTAACAAACAGGGATTTCTATCAGAACTGCAATTAGGTTCTCCTCTCCTTCCAGCTTTCCTAAGGTTGACCTAATTACAAAATACTTAATGTGAGTCAAATTTGTTCTCAGCCTGTTTTAATTTTCATAACCAAATCTTCTAATGATTCCTGTTGTTTCATGTAAAACTGGCTAACCTTCTTCTTCTTTCTAATAGGGTGCTGAGAAAATTTTGCTAATGAATGAATCTGGGGAACTGCAAGATCTCTTAACCAAAATTGAGGTAATTGTATTTCTGCAAATAAATGTAAAGAATATACATTTTTTCTTCTGTTATAAACTCATTATCTCAATTGCTTTTTTGGGTGTGGTATTAGGGTTTTTTTGGGTTTTTTTTCCCCCTCTTTGAATTGATGATATCATGGTATTAAGTTCTGGAAAATATGAGTGGTAATAAAATAAAAACAAATTGTCCGCCTCTGTTTTCTCTTGGTTCTGCCACAGCAGGAAAAGCAAGTAATTTTCCCTTTCTCAAAAATTTGACATCACCTTTGGTATTTAATCTTCACCATACCTTGGAGGAGTTAGGCCTCTTGTATGGATGCTGCACCTCTTCTCTGTGTACTGCTGTAAGTGCACTGGAAACCTGGAGATCTGCATTCTGGCTAGACTTAAAGTTGGACATCTACAAAATCTGAGCAAATGCTGGAATTTTTCAATTGGACCAATTTGCACAAATTTCAAATTACAGGTTATTATGCTTTTCTACAGCTCTTAGTTTGCTTTGTCCATGCAAGTTCTCTGGAGCACGTTTGCCTTTTATTATGACCAGCTGGTGCTCTGAGGACACTTGAAGCATGAGTCAGCTCTCACACATTTGCTGTAAGCTAGAATCTCTGCTGGTCATCACTTTTCTGCTGGTCTTGTGCTATTGAGTGCTCAAGGGATTTTCTGTTTTTCCTTTGCATAGCCTACAACAAAGAACATTTAGGGGAGATGTGTGTCATAATGTCTGGGCTATATGGATAGTTGTATCCTTATAAAAGGAATGTACTGCTATTAATGATAGTTATTTTGAAATCACCCCTAACCAAGTTAACACATAAACTTCAGAAGGATGTAACATGAGCATTAAAAATAGATAATGAGGATATGGTATTTCTGAAAGACACTGATGAAAGAGCAAAAGAAAGCTTCATCTAGTTGATTTAGCCCCAAGGTTTTTCTTTCCCTGCATTTAGCCAAACCATAGCATATGCTTTCCTAACACACTTTCACTAACCCTTTGTATACCACACATCTTTGAATTTTTCACGAAACGAGCATCTGTTTTTGTGAAGCATAAGGTTTTCTTATAGTCAGTCCCATTCCTGACCTCCTCCAAATGTTTCAGTTAGACTAAGCCAAAGGGTTTGAATGTCGTCTTTGGAGACATTCAAAACCTGCCTGTACATGTTCCTGTGTGACCTACTCTAGATGATCCTGCTCTGGCAGGGGGGTTGGACTAGATGATTTTTTGAGGTCCTTTCCAACTCCTAACATTCTGTGATTCTGTTGTTGTTCACCTCTGTCTCATTCTGGGGGTAGATTTAACACTATCCAGATTAAATCGTGAACTGCTTTGTCCCTTTGCAGTGCAGGTGGTACCTTCTGCATTTCTCTGGCCTGCCCCTTAACTCAGCATATCTTTCCTTGCCTTGTGTCTCAGTGTATTTACTTCTGTATAAAATGCTGAGGAACCTGCTGGCCATATTGAGCCATATTAAATAGCTAACCAGAAACTGCTAAATAATAGTATATATATGATTAAAGCATGCAGCACTTTTATTGTCTGAATAGAAAAGATAGCTAATACACCTCCTTAACATTTTTCATTACTTTGGAATGAAATGTTCCCAGATCCTGCTTTGGCAGGTCCTATAATGTTATTGCATAGCCCAATGTGTGTTCTAATCTTGAGACAGAAAGTACATCTAAAAGACGAATAATTCCAGGCTATAGGAGACTATGATAACTGCTTACTGAATACAAATACTGCTTCAAACACATTGTTACCTGTTGGTTTTTTATTGCAATGATAGCTTTGCTACAATCTCAAAGGGCAGTCAGGTTTCTTCATTTCTGAAGATACAGAAAGTAGTTACACAAACTGTCATTGTTCAAGAAGGAAACGGAAATTGTTCAAGGAACTGAGCTAAAGCAATTTTGCATTTGCTATTTGTTAGGTTTTTTTGCTACCAGGAAAGGTAGTTATTTAAAAGCCTAACAAGCAATAATGAATGTAAAGTTTGAAAATACTATTCTCTTAAAACTTTGAGTTTATTTGCAAAAATGGCCAATGAAGTAAACCACTATAATAAATTATGAAAGTTGTGGGCAGTCCTGAGATTTTAAAAATAGCTAATTTTACATTAAATACTTCCAAACATAGCCCCTGGAAAAGTTAATAGTAATACGAGTTGTTTGCCCAGTGAAGAAGAATGGTAAGTTTATGAGCTACAGGACAAAAAGTGCCTTTTTTCAGGTTTGTCTGAGCTGTCAATAAATGAGTGCTATTATTAATAGATTTGCAGAAATCTCTTCAGTTTTCTTGATGAAGATACAAGAAGGACTACATTATCCTTACATATTTTAGTATAATCTGGTAATAATTTGTGACTAATTTTTTAGTGGTGAATAATTCCTCAGTCCTAACAGGATCTGTATGGATTTTTGTTCTTTCTTCGTAAATAAAATCTGTAAACTCTTTACTCAACAGTAAAAGCTACATATCTGTGCTGTGGTAAGTACCCAATGTGGTGAACCTTTCATTTCTCTGATACAAAACTTTAAAGCAATCATTAAACCAACTAGCAACATTTTCTGCAGGTGAAACTTAAAAATGTCTTTGAACCATCTCTATTGTCTTTAATCCAATACAAAATAGAGTAAAATTATTGTTTTACTCAGGAATTAGGACAATTGAGGGAGCCCAAGCCTTGCTTGCAGCAATTTTCTCCAGGTATAACTGTTGAATATTGATGATCTTCCTTCTTTACTCTTAAAGCTTCAGTATTCTTCACCCATAAATTTGAGTACACCACTTACTTCTTTGAGCATTACTTGTCAGAAGCTATGAATTGCTTTCTGGTATGATCAGCTCTAACTGTAATAGGAACACTGTGTTCAGCATGAACATGCAAATGCTAAAAGTCACAATATCTTAACATACAACATAGAAAATACATAAACTGCCTGGAGTTCAGATTCAATCAATTGCAATATCTCCTGGAATTGATCTAGACCTAAACTGCATCAGAGCAATGTATGCAAGCTATCCTTTAGCTAGCTATTTTGGCAAGTGAGATTTAACTGATGAACCTGCAGTGAGCCTCTCTGACATTGCATGTGGTTCTGACCAAAGGCAAAGGCAGATGTACTGGTCTTCCATGGTGGGATACCTTGGGATGGGGTGGTGGATATTTCTCAAGATGAGAACCACAATGTGTATTCTCTCCTGTCCTGGAGCCCTCATTGCCCTACAGCTTATGGTGGTTAAACAGGGAACTGCTGGGTAAGCTT